GTTCTGAATTGAAAACCATCAAGAAAGGGACTAGGTCAATCTCTGAGTATGTGCTGAGAATTAGAGCTATCACTGATGCACTGCTAGCCATTGGTGATCCCATTTCAGAGAGAGATCAAATTGATTCCATTTTACAGGGGCTTCCGGAGGAGTACAATCCATTTGTCATGATGACCTATGGCAAAGGTGAGTTGTCCTCCATTTATGATGTGGAAGCTCTCCTCTATGTCCAAGAAGCACAACTCGACAAGTATCGTCAAGAACTCACACTTACCACGGCCACTGCCAATCTTGCCTATACTGAAGATCAGACAAGTTCCAAGACCACCAGAGGTGGCTTTCAGCAGTCAAGGGGACGTAGCTCTGGCTCCAGAGGTCGTGGCCGCACCAGGGCACGCAATGGTTACACTCAAGGAAATCGCCCTACATGCCAACTCTGTGGAAAATATGGCCATGCTGTCATCAATTGCTGGCACAGGTATGATGAAAGTTTTGAACCTATGGCGCCTAAAGCTTATCAGCAGCCTACTCAGGCAAAAGATCAACAGAAGAATGAAGCCTCAAATTCTGCACAAGCTTCTGCATTTCTAGCACATCAAGAAGATTTCAGCCTTCCAACAAATCTTGAATCACAGGCTTGGTTCGCGGATTCAGGTGCATCCCATCATATCACCTCTAGAAACTATCATAGTAAATACACTAAACCTTATTCTGGCAATAATGAAGTCATTATAGGAAATGGTAAAGGTCTGAAAATTGAATCTGTAGGAATAGCTCATATTAAGCCTAATAATACTTCCAATTATTTGCTAAGTCTGAATGATATGCTTCATGTTCCTAGCATAACTAGAAATCTTCTATCTGTTTCCAAATTTGCCAAAGACAACAAGGTCTTCTTTGAGTTTCACTCTAACAACTGTTTTGTCAAATCTCAGGCATCTAAGGAAGTTCTCTTAGAAGGCTACCTTGATGCTGGAGGATTATACTACTTTCCCAATCTCACCTTGAAGACTTCTGTGTCACCAACAACAAATGCAACTTGTATCTCACCTGATAAGGTTTCAAATACTTTAGATTCCATTTCAAATAAGTTTTCTCTATGGCATCATAGGCTAGGTCATGCTAACCCTGTAGCTGTTAAAACAGTTCTCAACATATGTAATATTCAGTTGAGCAATAAAGATAATGTTGAATTCTGTAATTCATGTTGTATAGGCAAGTCTCATAGAATATTTGCTCCTCTAACTTCTACTGTATATACTGCTCCTTTTGAATTAATTCACACTGATTTGTGGGGACCATCACCAAACCCCTCTAGCCAAGGCTTTTCTTACTACATAGCATTTGTAGATGTGTACACTAAATATACCTGGGTCTATTTTCTCAAAAATAAGTCAGATGCCCTCAACACTTTCAAACACTTTCTTGCCTTTGTCAAAACACAATTTCATACCACTATTAAGGCTCTACAATCTGACTTTGGTGGTGAGTACAGGCCCTTTACTAAACTCTTGAATGATCTTGGCATTGTTCATAGATTAACTTGCCCACATACTTCACATCAGAATGGCACAGTTGAAAGGAAACATAGAAACATAGTAGAAATGGGATTGACTTTACTTGCTCATGCTAATCTGCCTATAGAATATTGGGATCATGCCTTTACAACAGCTGTCTATCTGATCAATAGACTTCCCACTCCTACACTTCCTAAAACTGTCTCCCCCTTTCAGACTCTGTTCAACAAAATCCCTGACTACAGCACCCTTAGAATATTTGGTTGCTCCTGTTTTCCCCATTTAAGACCCTACAATCAAAATAAACTCCAGTTAAGAAGCTCTGAATGTGTATATCTAGGAATTTCTCCACATCATAAGGGATACAAATGCCTTAGCAAAGAAGGCATGATTTATATTTCCAAGGATGTCATTTTCAATGAAAAAGTCTTTCCTTTTCCAACATTCAATGATCAACCTCAGTCTGTCAAAACAGGACCCACCAAGTCTATCCCTTTACTTGTACAAAACAGTCATTTTTCTGCTCCCTATGATACTCCTATAACCAATGGTACCAGGACCACTCAGCTTGTCCTGCCCTTGAATAGCACACCCCAGCACTCTCCCCAAAACCAGTCTATAACCATTGAACATAATCATACTTCTTCTCATAATCAAATTTCCTCTTTCACTGAGCAAGAACCCCTGGATAGAAACACTGATCCATCTCAGAGTACCCCTGTTTATTCTCAACATACATAAGGTACAACAAATATCCAACCTCATCACACTGCTCTAACTAATCAAAATACTGTCCATCAGGAATCTGGTCCATCCCTGACTACTGTTAATCCTGATACTCACTCTTCTCCTGCCTTAGTTACTAACAATCACTCTATGGTTACTAGGAGCAAAACAGGGAACCTTAAACCTAAAGTATTCCTTGCACAATGTGAACCATTCACCTACAAACAAGCCTTAACTCAACCAGAATGGTTTGAGGCTATGAAACAGGAGTTTGATGCCCTCCTAGCCAAAAACACTTGGACACTAACTCATTTACCTCCACACAGAAAACCAATAGGATGTAGGTGGGTGTTTAAATTGAAAGAAAATTCTGATGGAACCATTAACAAACACAAAGCCAGGTTGGTTGCCAAAGGTTTTAACCAGCTGTATGGTCTTGATTTCCATGAAACTTTCAGTCCTGTTGTCAAGCCAACAACTATAAAAGTTATTCTAACCCTAGCTATCACTCATAAGTGGGAAATACAACAGATTGACATCAACAATGCCTTCTTAAATGGTGCTCTGCAGGAAGAGATATATATGCAACAGCCACCTGGGTTTGAGAATGAAAACAAAAATCTGGTATGCAAGTTGAATAGAGCCTTATATGGACTCAAGCAGGCACCCAGATCATGGTATGAGAAACTACACCAGACCCTGTTTCATTTTGGTTTTGTGGCTAGCAAGTGTGATCACTCTTTGTTCATTTACAAGCATCAAGAAATTATTATGTATGCCTTAGTCTATGTGGATGACATCTTAGTAACAGGCTCATCTTCTCATCTTGTTCACAAGTTGATAAATCAACTACATCATAAGTTTGCTCTGAAGAAACTTGGCAAGCCTGAATACTTCTTAGGTTTGGAAGTTCATTATCAAACCAATGGATCCCTAATACTGACTCAAACAAAATACATCAGAGATCTTCTTTCTAGGGTCAATATGCACACAGCTAATGGAGTAGGAGCACCAATGCTTAGCCACTGCAAACCCAGCAAATATGGCACTGACTTCATAGAAGAACCATTACTATACAGATCTGTTGTAGGAGCGTTGCAATACATTACCCTAACCAGACCTGACATAGCATACTCTGTAAACAAAGTTTGCCGGTTCATGGCTTCTCCTTTACACAGCCACTGGAGTTTGGTTAAGAGGATACTCAGGTACTTGAGTGGCACTGTCAGAATGGGATTAACCTTGTCTCCTGCTACTCCTAATCATCCTCTATCTCTAAGAGCCTACAGTGACTCTGATTGGGCAAATGATCCAGATGATAGAAGGTCAACTTCTGGCACTTGCATCTTCATTGGACCAAATTTCATATCATGGAGCTCAAAGAAACAGTCCCTTGTTGCAAAATCCAGTGCTGAAGTAGAATACAGGGCCTTGGCTCACACCACATCAGAAGTTCTATGGCTGGAATCTCTACTGACTGAACTACAGATTCAGTATTTCTCCCCAACTCTGTTGTGTGATAACCTGAGTGCTGTTCTTCTTTCACATAATCCTGTCCTGCATGCTAGAACCAAGCATATTGAATTAGATCTTCACTTTGTAAGAGAGAAAGTCATGGCCAACAAGCTCAAGATCCAACATGTTCCAGCTACTACTCAATTAGCAGATATCCTGACCAAGCCTCTTTCTACTACTGTCTTTCAACAACTCAGGGACAAGCTCAAAGTTATGCTGTTGCCATCACCTTGAACTTGAGGGGGAGTATTAGTGATATACATCCAACTGTACATCTGTGATTGGCTTCTGTTAGGCTTTTGCTATTGGTTGAGTTTGTTATAGATGTAGTTATATATTGGTCACTTGTAATACTGAAAATATACAACTTATCCTCTACTGTAACTCTTAGAATAAACAATTATGGAGTTTATTGAAACTGCACAGAGTGCAGATTGCTTGAATGCAAAGCATTCTTCATCTTCTACACATCCAAATCACTTATAACATCTTATTCCTGAGATTCACTAGTCAATCTTGCAAAGAAACCTTTAACAAGAGACCAGTGTTGTTTACCAATTTTCAGGGTAAACAAACTGGTACGCTCAGTGGGACAGTGCTAATTAAATTTTTCAGTATTTTCTATCGTGTGAAATATTTTATTTGTGTACTTTGATCATGTATGAACTTAAGAAATGGAAAAAAATTATCTAAAATGTCACGTTCTAACACAAACACGAACACTTCTGATCCTGCACATAATACTTCATGAAATATGGATGTCATATTGATGGTTGCGACAACTCAGGGTGCAACAGTTTTGTCCCCTGTTAAGACATTTGCTATTATTGGTTCAACGACAAACGGTCGCAATAAGACCAAGATATGTGGGAGGGTCGCCTTTTAACCCCACAAGAACACTATTCTAAATAGGGCCAATGCCTTTGGGACAATATCAGTATGGTATGCCCCAGCCGATGATAGTTGGCCTTCAGTCGAATGTATCAAATTACATTGATAATATGATGGCTACCAGGCCACCACCTTTTCATTATCAAAATATGCCTGCTTCGACTATAAATCTCATTGAAGTATAGACTCTGTCATAAAAGAGTACTTCTCGTACTTGATGATGTGAATAGTTTGGACCAATTAAAAAGTTTGTGTGGAAATCGTGAATGGTTTCGTCCAGGGAGTAGAATAATAATCACAACCAGAGATAAACATATACTTAGAGGACTGAGAGTTGACAAAGTATGTGCAATGAGAGTAATGGATAAAAATGAATCAATTGAACTTTTTAGTTTAAATGCATTCAAGCAACCGAGTCCTACAAAACAGTTTGCTGAAATTTCTAGAAAATTTGTTGAGTACTGTGGGGGATTGCCACTAGCTCTGGAAGTCCTTGGCTCCTATTTGTTTGAAAGTGGAATAAGAGATTGGAAGTGTGTATTAGAAAAAATCAAAATAATTCCCAATGACCAAGTACAACGGAAGTTAAAAATAAGCTATGATGATTTAAACACGATACTGAGAAAGAAATATTTTTTTGACATAGCTTGTTTCTTTATTGGGATGGACCGAAATGATGTTATATAGATATTAAATTCTTGTGGACTTTTCCTAGAAATTGGAATAAGTATGCTTGTTGAGCAAATCTTGGTAACGGTTGATGATAAGAAAAAGCTTGGAATGCATGAATTGTTACGAGATATGGGAAGAGAAATCATTCGTGAAAAATCACCAAAAGAGCCTGAGGAGCATAGCAGGTTATGGATTCATGAGGATGTGCTTGATGTTTTATCGGATCGAAATGTAAGCACCTTGTATACTTAAAGTTCTTCATCTTTCATAAATTCTTCCTGTTTTACGTTTTGGTTCATTATATTTCACAGGGAACAAAAGCTATTGAAGGGCTAGCTTTGAAGTTGCCAATAGCTAGTTCAAAATGTTTTAGCACTAAAGCATTTAAGAAGATGAAGAGACTCAGATTGCTTCAACTTGCTGGAGTAAAACTTGATGGAGATTTCGGATATCTTTCAAGAAATTTAAGGTGGTTATGTTGGAATGGATTTCCTTTAACATGCATACCTTCAGATTTTTATCAAGGAAATATAATTTCCATGGAGTTAGAAAACAGCAATATGAGATTTATGTGGAAAGAGACCCAGGTATGTATCTTGATTTTAGATATTTGCATCTGATGTATTGTTTTCACTTTTTATGGTGAATATTTCCATTTATTTTTGTAAGCCTCTTCCTTAAATTCTCTTTTTAATATTTATGATCATGTAGAGAATGGAGATGCTGGAAATCCTAAACCTTAGTCATTCTCATCATCTGATGCAGACCCCAGATTTCTCTCATTTACCTAATCTTGAAAAGCTAGTTCTTGTAGATTGTCCAATGTTATCTGAGGTTTCCAACAACATTGGAGATCTCAATAAAATTCTTCTAATAAATTTGGAAGATTGTATTAACCTATGTAACCTTCCAAGAAGCATTTATAAGTTGACATCTCTTAAAATTGTTGAGTAAACATTAAATGTCATTAGTAATAAGTTTCATATTAAATATGGTAGTAAGAAGATTAAGAGCCAATGTAATTTGGAAGGACAAAAGTTGGTAAGTTATGATAGTTTTATTAGTAGCAGTTATCTTTTGAAAATTGTAAAAGTTATTAGGTCTATATAAAGACCAAGAGTGTATTTTATTCAATAAGAGCAATACAAAAAGGTTTGTCTCCTTTTAGAAAAAGTAATCACATAACGAAATCTGATTATTTATAACAATTTGGCATCAAAGCTCATGGCAAACATGATGAATCAAATGCCGTTACCACGGCTAACGAAGTCAAATTATGAAAACTTGAGTATCCAAATGAAAGCTCTTCTTGGATCTCTAGACGCGTGGGATGTGACCCATGAAGGGTTTGAAGAACCAATATAAGTTGGAGGATATACGGCAGCTCAAACGAAGGCGTTGAAAGAGACGCGATCGAAGGACAAAATGGCATTATACATGTTGTTCAGGGCTGTAGATGAATCAGGCTTCGAAAAAATTGATGGTTCGACTACGTCGAAACAAGCGTGGGTCACGTTAGAAAAAGTGTTCAAAGGAGCAGATCGAGTGAAGCAAGTTCGACTCCAAACTCTTCGTGGCGAATTGGAGAGGATACAGATGAAGGATACAGAAATTGTATCTGACTACATCACACGTGTGCAAAAGGTGGTGAATCAACTCACCAGAAATGGAGAGACAATAACTGATGCACGAGTTGTTGAAAAGATCTTGAGATCTTTAACAGACAAGTTTGAGAATATTGTGTGTGCAATAGAAGAGTCGAAGGACCTTTCGACACTCTCAGTCGAAGATCTCGCTGGTTCTCTCGAAGCACATGAACAACGAAAGATGAAAAAGAAAGAAGAAGCAGTCGAAGAAGCAAATCAAACCAAGGAATCGAACAAAGACGAAAAGGTACTCTTTTCTCACAATTTTCGAGGAAGAGGACGTGGACGTGGAGGTCATGATAGTGGTCTAAGTGGTAGAGGTAGCAACTTCGAAAGAGGACAATCGAGCCAACAAAATTGGCGTGGCAGAGGACATGGTCAAAGAGGTGGTCATTCAAATCATTCCAACTTCGAATGCTACAAGTGTGGAAAGTATGGTCATTACGCGAAGGATTGCAACTCCTAAAAATGTTACAACTGTGACAAAGTGGGACATCTTGCAAAAGATTGTCGAATCGAAAAGAAGATTGAAGAAACAACCAACCTAGCCTTGGAAGCTGAATCGAATGAAGGCTTTCTCCTGATGGCTCAAAACGAAATCAACACCAATAATGACAATGTTTGGTATCTTGACTCAGGAGCAAGTAATCACATGTGTGGTTACAAACACCTGTTTAAAGATATGAAGAGAATTGAAGATGGTAATGTATCTTTTGGAGATGCATCAAAAGTGAAGGTCGAAGGAAAGGGCACAATCGGTTACTTGCAGAAGGATGGCTTGATTGGATCAATCGAAGAAGTTTACTATGTACCAGATCTCAAGACCAACATATTAAGTCTGGGACAACTTACAGAAAAAGGTGCTTCGATACTTATGAAAGATCGAACACTGCATTTGAAGGACAAAGTAGGACATCTGATTGCTAGTGTCGAAATGGAAAGAAATCGAATGTACAAACTGAACCTGAGGAACATTCGAGAGAAATGTCTGCAAATCGAAGTGCGAGACAAAGCGTCACTGTGGCATATGCGCTTTAGTCATCTACATCATGCTGGTTTGAGAAGGTTGGCGAAAAGGAACATGGTGCATGGACTACCAGACATGGATTTCGAAGGAAAATTCTGTGAAGAATGTGTGCTCAGCAAACAAACAAGAACCTCATTTCAAAGGAAGGCAGAGTATCAAGCTAAACATATTCTCGAATTAATACATACTGACATATGTGGGCCAATCACTCCAGAATCCTTCAGTGGAAAAAGGTACTTCATTTCTTTTATTGATGACTTCTCAAGAAAAACCTGGGTTTACTTCCTGAAAAAAAAATTTGAAGCATTAGAAGTGTTCAAAAAGTTTAAAGTAATGGTGGAAAAGGCAACAGACAGATACATCAAAGCAATTTGACCTGACAGAGGAGGTGAGTATACTTCAATGGCCTTTGTGAAGTACTGTGAAGAACAGGGCATAAGGATATTCCTAACTTCACCATATTCACGTCAACAAAATGGTGTGGCTGAAAGGAAGAATCGAACTATTCTTGACATGATTCGATCAATGCTCAAAAGCAAGAACATGTCGAAAGAATTCTGGGCAGAAGCAGTACAATGTGTTGTTTATATTCAGAATAGATGTCCACATTCGAAGTTAGAAGACAAAACACCACAAGAAGCATGGAGTGGACAGAAGCCAACAATTTATCATCTCAAGGTATTTGGTAGTATAGCTTATGCACATGTACCAGATCAACGAAGAACAAAGCTTGAAGACAAAAGTCAGAAGTACATATTCATTGGATATGATGAGAAGACGAAAGGGTACAAGCTCTTCGATCCCATAAGTAAGAAAGTGATCGTGAGTAGAGACGTTCGAATGAACGAAGCAAGAAAGTGGGACTGGAACAATTCGACAGAGGTTATTGACCAGTCGAAGAAACAACTGTAGCTGTACCAACAGGTATTCCAACAGAACATGAAGAAACTGAAGATGAAGATGAACCTCTACAACCCAAAATGAGAAGTTTGCAATATTTGTATGATTCAAAAAGTGAGGTGCATCTTGTGTGTCTTCTGGCAGATGCTGAAAACATCAGTGTCGAAGAAGCGTTACGAGACAAGAAGTGGAAAAGTGCCATGACGAAGAGATTAGAGCAATCGAACGCAACAATACTTGGGAGCTAGTCGAATTGCCAAAAGGTAGTCAATCCATTGGTGTAAAGTGGGTATTCAAGAAAAAGATGAATGCTCAAGGAGAAATCTAAAGATTCAAAGCACGACTGGTTGCAAAGGGATACAAACAGAAATCAGGAATTGACTATGACGAAGTGTTTGCGCCTGTTGCAAGAATGGAGACAATTCGATTACTCATTTCTCAAGTTGCTCAATTCAAATGGCCAATATTTCAAATGGATGTCAAGACAACATTTTTGAATGGTGTGATCGAAGAAGAAATCTATGTCGAACAACCACTTGGATATATGAGAATTGGAGAAGAGAAGAAGGTGTTGAAACTGAAGAAATCACTGTATGGGCTGAAGCAAGCACCTAGGACATGGAACACACGTATTGACACATATTTCAAAGACAATGGGTTCGAGCAATGTCCTTATGAACCTGCCCTCTATGTGAAGAAAAATGGAAGTAATTTATTACTTGTTGTTCTCTATGTTGATGACCTTATCTTTCTAGGTAGTGATGTTCAGATGATCGAAGATTTCAAGAGCACCATGACAAGCGAATTCGAAATGACAGACTTAGGTCTAATGAGATTCTTTCTTGGTCTGGAGATTTGACAAGAAGAAGCTGAAATTTTCATCTCACAAGAAAAATATGCAAAAGAAATCCTAGAAAAATATAAAATGAAGAATTGCAATCCAACTTCGACGCCAATGGAACCAGGTACAAAACTGTCAAAGTTTGATGGAGGAGAACGGGTTGAAGGAAGCAAATATCGAAGCTTGGTAGGTAGCCTTCGATATCTCACATGCACAAGGCCAGATATTTCACTAAGTGTTGGCGTGCTAAGTCGATTCATGGAGGAGCCAGTACACACACATTAGAAGGCGCTGAAACGAATTCTAAGATACATCCAAGGAACAATATCACTAGGAATGCTTTATTCAAAACAGAAGACTACAAGTTAGTTGGTTATTCTGGCAGTGACTGGTGCAGAGACATAGGCGATCGAAAGAGCACCTCTGAATATGTGTTTTTCATAAGAAACACAACTTTTACCTGGCTATCGAAGAAGCAACCTATAGTAACACTTTCGACGTGTGAAGCTGAATATGTGGCAGCATCCTGGTGCGTTTGTCATGCAGTATGGCTCAGAAGGTTGATAAGCAAGATGGAGCTAAAACAGAAAAGTCCAACAATAATACAAGTGGACAATAAATCAGCTATCGAATTGGCAAAGAATCCAGTGAATCATGAACGAAGCAAACACATTGATGTTCGATTTCACTTCATTCGTGAACATGTGAAGGAGGGAAGTGTCGAATTAAGGCATGTAGCAAGCAAAAACCAAGCAGCGGATATTTTCACAAAGCCACTATCAAAAGAGATCTTCGACAGAGGCAAGAAGATGATAGGAATGCTGGATGGAAGAAACATTTAAGTTTACAGAGGAGTTTTGTTGAGTAAACATTAAATGTCATTAGTAATAAGTTTCATATTAAATATGGTAGTAGGAAGATTAAGAGCCAATGTAATTTGGAAGGACAAAAGTTGGTAAGTTATGATAATTTTATTAGTAGCAATTATCTTTTGAGAAATGTAAAAGTCATTAGGTCTATAAAAAGACCAAGAGTATATTTTATTCAATAAGAGCAATACAAAAAGGTTTGTCTCCTTTTAAAAAAAGTAATCACATAACGAAGTCTTATTATTTATAACAAAAACTCTAATTCTCTCGGAGGTGTTTAATGATTGACACGTTGGAAGAAGACATCTAACAAATGGAATCTTTAACCACTCTGATTGCAAATAACACTGGAATAACAAGAGTTCCGTTGTGAGATCAAAAAGCATTGGCTATCTTTTCTGTTGTGAGATCAAAAAGCATTGGCTACATTTCCTTGTGCGGCTATGAAGGTTTCTCACGAAATGTGTTTCCATCTATCATTTGGTCTTGGAAGTCTCCAACAAATACTTTTCCTTCCCAGGAGCTATCATCGATTTCCAAGTATCTTCCTAATCTTAGAAGTCTTTGGGTGGAGTGCAGCTCGGAAGGTCAACTTTCTCATGATACAACAATAATTTTGGAGGCATTATATGCCACAAATTCTAAAAAATTAGAACCAACAGCAACTACATCACAAGTATCAAAATTTTCCTTGAAACCTCTTTTCATTCAATTGGGAATGAATTGCCAAGTTGCCAATATTTTGAAAGAGAAAATTTTACAGGTTTGACTCATTCTCCCTGGCTTGTATTTTATTGTCAATATTATTGTTGTCTCAAATGTTAAAAGTCACATGTTAGATAAAAATGTGAGTGACTTTTGAGCAACATAATTTTGAAGAGATCCACATATTCGATGCCTTAAAGTATTGGATGAACATGTGTATCTAATCCACTTGTATGGCTGCAATGTGATAATCTCCTGATTTTTGTAAGATATTTAGGGTGTGATAATCCTGGATAACTTCGAAGAATCGTGTTCGTATACTTTCCGAACAAAGTATTTCGACCCTATTCTTGCCTGGGTTCACGAAATCTTTGTGGAGATAATTCTCGAAGAAATTCTGTTTCCGACAAAAGAAAACGAATTGTAATTATAGAGAGAATGATGCGTTTTTTCTGTGTGCGAGACCGAGGCCGAACGACTCCTTATATAGGAGAACAGTAATTGAAAACGAAGAGACATATTTGTTCGAAACGAATATGTCAGTTGGGAAATAGTTATGTCCGTTGGGGAAAGGACAGGGGCTTCCGCCCCTTGGACCCCGCGGGGCGCTGCCCCGCACCCCGCCAGGGGCTTCGCCCCTTGGAACCCCGTTTCAATTATTCGTATTCTATTATGCATTGGCTCGACGAGCGTGCACTCCGCACTTCCCTAACTCGTCTCCGAACTTAACGCATAATTGCATCGGCCTTTAGAAATCACATTACTACTAAAATACATTGGTGATACAAAATCGCCAACAATTTTTAGGTTCCCCTAGTGACCCAACAAATATATTCTTAGATTGAATTTTGATCCTATCTCTCTTGTACAGAATACAACTGTCGATGAGAGTGGTGGTTGTGTGCTCCTGGGTGATAGTTATCCCGATTTGTTAAGTTTCAATTGTGATGGTTCTTCTATAATTTTTGAAGTTCCTCAAGTAGAAGGGCATAACTTGAAGTCATTGATGTGCATTGCCTATTCTTTAATTCCAGATAACATATCATCAGATGGACTTATAAGTGTGTTAGTGAAAAATTACACAAAGGCCACCATTCAGCTCTATAAGAGAGAGACATTAGCTTCCTTTAAGGATGAGGAGGGGGAGAGACTAGTATCAAGTATAGAACTTGGAGACGGAGTGGAAGTTGTTGTTGCTTTTGAGAATGGCTTCAGTGTGAAGAAAACAGCTATTTATCTCATTTATGATTAACCAGTTGGAGAAAAAAAATGGAGCAATGTGAAGCACCTGAAGAAAATGCTATTGCTTGTAGTGGTGATGAAAACGAACGCATAGTAATGATGAGTACTCCGCAAGTTATGTTGGTGATGGTAGTTGTTGTGGATTATTATATGTAGTTTCAGACAATGCATTCCAAATTTTATGAGTAGATTAGTGGAGTGCTTGAGATAGTCAAGTTGGACTTGAGTTTGTAGGTGGAAATCAGCCATTTTCCAGAAGTCATTCAATTTGAGGACAAACTTGACAATCTCTGTATGCAATTTGTGATATGATGCTAAATGTTGTTATTAAATTTGTTACTATACTACTGTGTGCCTTTGGTTTAGTTTTAGTTCTGCCGGTCTCTATAAGTCCTGTTATCTCACACTAGATGTCTTAATTGGTTATTTCATTGTGAATCATATCTTAAACAAAGTTTAAAAATCATTTTTGATAGAACAGTACCCATTTTAAAGGCATGTAAAAGCTTTTTTGATAAAAAAAGTGTTAACTTTAATGTGTGAGTTGGCTATTTTGAATAGTTTAAGGATTCTGATTATCATTTTCTCCTAAAGGATATTCAACTGGTAGTTCATTTTTATGCTATTCAGTTTAGCTCTTTTTTTTTCTTCTTTCAATTGAATGCAAACTATTTGATAAATGCTCTTTGAGGTGCATATGCAAAAGATGCTTGGGAAGAAATATGTGATTGATGGATGTTTTTACAACTCATTTTTGCTTGGAAAATTGCATGTTTATACGATTGTGTAGTTTAGAAATTTTAAATTTAAGAAACACTAGAAACAAACCATGTTTAAAAAACCCATAATTTTGGTGAGAGCTAGGAGCAGATGATTGGATATAAATGATTCTGTTTTAAATGGTAGATATAACTATTTTAAAAGTTCAGCCAGTGTACTAAACCTGTTCAGAAGTTGAGGGGCAGATTCTGTTGGAGTTTTTCTATTGATTGTACTGTGATAGATTGCATAGGGCTAATGTGGGTGCTTTGCTGGGTGGAGGATATATGTTTCTGCTATAGGTGGCCCAGTTTGGGTAGACAGGAGGCTGCTGTCATGACTCATGAAGCCTTGGTTCATTTTTCATAAGTGTTTTTTTTGGCATTGTGGTATTTCTGCAGTTGTGTGGAGCTTTGATGTCTCTTTGTGATGGGTTCTTATATGAATATATGAGTGAACAATAAATATATGAATAGAATAGTAAAAGAATGTTGTAATTGTATTATTACGGACGAACAATTACAAAGAAGTAACGGTGATGAAAATAACAAACTGATAGAGAATATCTATCAGTTCCTAAGCACGCAGTGCTTCCCTCACCAAGACGGTGATTCTCAAATCAAAAAATAGAATACCTAGATACCTTATTTCCTCCCTATTTTATAGTCATAAACTTAGCTAATTATTCTCTCTCTTCCTTCCCTATTTTATAGTAACAAACTCATTAATTATAGGATTAATTATAGTAACAACTCCTATAATTATTCTCTCTTCTCTTCCCTATTTTATCGTAACAAACTCCTACAATCTATTCCTTTATTCCTTTGCCACGTCTTCTAGTATAAACCCTCCACACTTTTGGCTTAGGCCCAAAGTCAAGCCCAACTTCTTCACCTAAGTCTCTATCAACACATCGGTCCTTCACAACAACCTTGTCCTCAAGGCTAAAATTTGGAAACTTCCCCTTAAGATAATCATTGTCTTCCCATGTGACATCATCAACATGTTTGTTCTTCCACTGAATTAAACTTTGAGGAATAGAAACACCTCTCAGCACATTAATTCTAGAGCCTAACACCTTTTCTGGATAAAAGTCATCATCAAGTTCGACCTCTAATTCTGTAGGTAGTGCCCCTTGAGCCTGATAGTCACCTATAGCCTTTTTTAGCAATGAAACATGAAAAACTGGATGAATTCTGGAAGTGTCAGGTAATTGCAACTTGTATGCTACAACTCTCACCTTGTCCACAATTTTGAAAGGACCATAATAACGAGCAGCTAGCTTTTGATTAATCCTCTTGATCACTGACTGCTGTTTGTGAGGTCTAAGCTTCAAAAACACCCATTCACCGACATCAAATTGTACATCTCTTCTCTTTGTATCTGCATACTTCTTCATTTGTTGTTGAGCACGCAACAAATGACTCTTGAGCTGATTCAAAGCCTCATCCCTTTCACTTAACTCCAAAGCCACAGCAGCTATCTTTGTCTCGTTGCTTAAAAATCTTAACAAGCTGGGGGGTAGTCTTCCATACACCACTTCAAAGGTGTCTTCCTAATAGAAACATGAAAAGTAGTGTTATACCAATATTCTGCCCAGGGAAGCCAGTGAGACCAGGACTTTGGTTGTTCCGATGCAAAACAACTTAGATAACTCTCCAAGCATCTATTTAACACCTTGGTTTGCCCATCTGTTTCTGGGTGGTAGGCAGAGCTCATCTTTAATTTGGTACCTTGTAACTTGAACAATTCCATCCAAAAATGACTCACAAAAAGGGGTCTCTATCACTGATAATAGAAGTAGGAATACCATGGAGTCTGACAATCTCCTTCACAAATAACTCTACTATGGACTTGGTAGTGTGGGGGTGTTTTAGAAGGATAAAGTGACTGTACTTAGATAGTCTGTCCACTACCACAAGTACAGCTGCATAACCCTTAGATTTTGGAAGGCCAATGATAAAGTCTAAGGACAAATCCTCCCAAATGGCATTGGGAATAGGAAGAGACTGTAGGAGACCACCTGGGGTAGTAGCTGCATACTTTTGTCTCTGGCATATGTCACAAGCTCTCACAAAATCTCTGACCTTTCTTTGCATTCCCACCCAATATAAATTCTCAGCCAACCTTCTATAGGTTCTGAGGCACCTAGAATGACCTCATGTAGGTGTTCTGTGAAATTCTTGTAACAACAATGGGATTGAAGGAGAGTTTGGGGACAAGACCAACCCGCCATGATAAAATAAGGTACCCTGTTGCACAGTATAACCTGGCCTAACATCTGGTGAGGCCATCAATTCAGCAATGATCTTCTGAATTCCTAGATCCTGTTGCACTTCTTGTAACAATTTCTGACCCTCCAACCATTTTGGGTAAGAGACTATATAATTCATTTCCACATCCCCATAACATCTGGATAAAGCATCAACAGCTTTATTCTCACCTCTTGGCTTATATTTGACTTCAAATTGGTACCCAAGCAACTTAGCTAACTAACATTGTTGATCTGGTGAGGAAATTCTTTGTTGAAGGAAGTGTTTCAAGCTTTTGTGGTCAGTAAACACAGTGAATTGCTTCCCCAAGAGATAATGTCTCCAGTGCTGTATAGATAATACTAATGTCATAAGCTCTTTTTCATACCCAGTTTTTGATAAATTGCCATCAGACAAAGCCTTGCTGAAAAAAGCTACAGGTTGCCTGTTTTGCATCAAAACTTCCCTGATACCCCTTCCGGCTGCATCACATTCCACTTCAAAGGGTAGGGAAAAAATTAGGCAGAGCTAATACAGGAGTGGTGGTCATGATTGTCTTCAGTTGGCTGAAAGTCGTAGAGGCTTCTGGACCCCACTTAAAATTATCTTTCTTTGTCATTTCCGTCAAAGGTTTGGCCAATTTGCCATAATCCCTGATGAACTTTCTGTAATATCCAGTAAGACCCAAAAATCCACGTACCCCTTTTACATTTTTGGGTTCAGGCCAATCTACTATACATCTAATCTTCTCAGGGTCTACTGACACCCCTGCGCCAGAAATTATGTGTCCCAAGTAGTCTATTTGTTGGCAACCAAACTTGCACTTAGATTGATTAGCAACAAAACAATTGGACATTAAAACAGTCAGCACTTGCTTTAGATGGTTCTCATGATCAGACATATTCTTACTATAGACTAGGATATCATCAAAGAAAACTAATACGAATTTCCTCAAAAATGGTCTGAAAATGTCATTCATAGTGGCCTGAAATGTTGCTGGGGCATTCATAAACCCAAATGGCATTACTAAGTATTCATAATGTCCATTATGAGTTCTAAAAGCAGTTTTGTGGATGTCCTCATCTGCTACTCTAATTTGATGATAACCAGATTTTAAATTAATTTTAGAAAAAATTGTTGCTCCAAATAACTCATCAAGCAGTTCTTCTACTATGGGAATAGGGTACTTATCTGGTATTGTAGCCTTATTGATAGCTCTATAGTCCACACACATCCTCCAACTTCCATCTTTCTTCTTAACCAAGATAACAGGGCTTGAAAACGCGCTCATACTAGGACGAATCACACCTGCTTCCAGTAATTCAGACACTTGCCTTTCAATTTCTTCTTTTTGATGATGTGGGTACCTATATGGCCTCAGATTAACAGGGTTATAATCTGAGAACAACTTGATTTGATGCACTTGAGACCTCTTGGGAGGAAGCCTTATGTATTCTTGGAATATGCTCTGAAATTGACTCAACATAGTTTTCAGCTCTTCTTGATTTTTTTCTGCACCATCTAACTTCTTTTCACCTTTTGACCAACTCCACACTTCACCCCTTCTCTCATGTCTATCTTCCAAGAAATTGTTGAGGAAACCTTGCTGTTCTTGTTTCCCTCCCTGCCCTTGTAACATTACTAGCTCATCTTTATGCCAAAATTTCATAGAGAGAGCCTTCCAATCTATCACCACCTTCCCTAGAGTACTCAACCATGAAACTCCCAGCATTACATCCAACCCCCCTAAATCCAAAACCAACGCATCTACCACTATCACCATTGGACCCAGATTTATACTAACTCCTTCACACACCCCTTGAGAAAACACCCTATGTCCATCTCCCAACTTAATGCTCTTTCCAGCCATATGAGTGACTTGCAAGCCTAAAGCAGCAGTGATTTTAGGAGAAATAAAATTGTGGCTAGCTCCACTATCCACTAAAATAACCACATCAACATCCCCTAATTTACCTTCAATTTTCATAGTTCGATACTC